ACTCACTTATTATCTCAAAGTTACATAATTTTCATTTATAACCTCAAAATCATTTAACCATGTTCTTTTTTATATATAGAAAGTCACTCAACTAACATTTCTTTCAAAAAAAAATCACTCAGCTACTGAATATTTCATTTAGAAGTCACCCAATCAATTTAAATATTTTTTTGATTAAATTTTATTGAAATACAATTTTGTAAACAAAATAATAAGACGCCCAATTTAATTAATTTATTTTATTTTACTGAAACATCTTTTTAAAAAACTAATTTCTTAAAAAATAATAAGACTCTCATTTTCATAATTTTATTAAATTTATTGAATCACTGATTTTGTTTTAAACTAATTGTTAACAAATAGTAAAATACTCATTTTAATATATTATTTAATTTTGTTGAAAGATAAATTTATTAAAAACGATATTCTTTATTAAAAAAAAAAGGTATGTTGCGAGGCACCAACACTAGTAACGGTGGATGATGCAATGCAATACATCATTTTCGATTTAAATATATCCTACTCTATATCATGCGTGACGGAAAAAGAATGAGAAATTCTATCCGAACGTTGACCTATGTATTATTTTAGGTAAGAGTATTAGTCACGTACAGATTAATTATTTATTTATTAAGTTATATAAATATGAGTGCTAGTTGTTCACATTTTATTATGGGTAAAATAATATATAGATACCTCATCACTTATACATGTATTAGTTATATGAGTTTTTGAATTTGTCAACCAAATAATATATTAATTCTTACATAATTAGATTATTTTATATTTATTTATCAAGTGTCATATAAATTATACAAAATTAATACTTAAAATAATTTATTTTTTATCCAACTATCAAACCACATCTACCAAATGTCTCACATTCACAAATTTGGAAAATCATCTTCTACAAGTAGAAAAAAAACTTAACATAAGTTATGGTGCATTGGTGGAGTGTTTCACCCTTAATCAGAGGTCTTAAATTCGAGCCTTATATATGGAGAAAATCATGTTAGGAATGAGATTTGATGATAGACAAGATGAATTGGGCAAACTCAATGAGATGTACAAATTGGAGCAGGACTAATGAAGAAAGATGTATTCTTATCTTTACTTGCACATAACTAATGATAGTGGATCTTAGTTTGAGGTTGTTAAAACAATGTCACTATATTATTGACATTTTCTTTATGCCATTGTTCGCTTATTGGGTTATGATTCACTTGATATAGAACTAATTAGGTGTCATCCAATTTAGCAAAATTAGGTCTTAACCATTACAGTTCTCAGTTTAGATCTTTTATCGCTTCTCTTATCACTAGTTAAAACATATTCAAACGGAAACAAGAAAGAAGAGATCAATGAGGTAAATTGTAGATTAGCACACAACAATCACAAAATCATATACTACAAACTTCCAATGTTGATTGTAACAAAATGTAAAGTTGAGAAATACTAGTTGATCTTTTACTATATGCATTGTATCTGCATCATTTGTTTAGCTTATATGTAGGAATAGCCAGCAAAGGTTTTTCTCTACATGTTACTATCCCAAACTTCTCATCAATATCTAAATCACAAGACTCAATACCATTTGGAAGCTCCCACTCAAAGCAATGAACCAATTGTGCCACCACAAGGCGGACGACCATAACTGCCAACTGCATTCCAGGGCAGCTTCTTCTCCCAGAGCCAAATGGTACAAGTTGGAAGTCCCGTCCACGAAAATCTACACTGCTCCCAACAAATCTCTCAGGCAAAAACTTCTCAGGATCAGGCCAAACATTTGGATCCATATGAATCGCGTAACAATTTATTATGATTCTGGTTCCCTTTTGTATGTGGAAACCATCGACTACACAATCTTCTATGGACTCGTGATAAAATAGTGGCGCTACAGGATGCAGCCTCAGGCCCTCTTTTACAACCATGTCTAAGTACTTTAAATTCTCCAGGTCGGATTCTTCCACCATTCTATCGAGGCCTACCACTTCTTGCAACTCCTTTTGGAGTTCCTTCATCACTTGGGGGTGCCTAAGAAGTTCGGTGAGTATCCATTCTGTTGATGATGCTGTAGTGTCCATTGCAGCTATAAGCATGTCCTGTATAGTAAATAGGAAACAGGGGAATCAATTAATATAAACCATTTCATTCTCAAGGCTTGTGGTGTGTATAAGAATGAAATGAAAGTACATACAAAAAGGATAGCTTTTATGTGATGACGGTCAAACTGAAATTTTGCATCTCCAGATTGCATTATGTCCATCATGGTGTCCACAAAGTCCTTGTTTTGCTTATGTTCATGAGCGTAAACATGTTCATCAATAATCTTCTCCAGGAACTCATCAAACACCTTTGAAAGATCCTTGAGCTTGCGAGTGATACCTTGGAGATCAATAGCACCAAGGAAGGGGAAAAAATCACCAAGATTTGGCATACCTGCTAAATGCACGACATCTTGAACAATAGCTTTGAATCCCCTCTTGTCCAAGTCCTCATCCATGTACTTCTTTCCAAACACCATTAAGCAAGTCAAGTTAGCATTCAAGGACGTAACCTTTGCACTAAGATCAATAACTACGCGATCACGAGCTTCCTGTTTAAGCGACTCAATAAGAAGTTCAACCTCTTGTTTTCTCATGGATTGAAATGAATGGATCTTTTGATTGCTCAAAAGGTGCACTGTGCACAATTTTCTTATGTTGCGCCAATACACATCATACTTTGCAAAAACCAAATTCTTTTGGCCATAAGCCAAATGTTGAGATGCCTCATGATGAGGCCTACTAGCAAAGATGTGATCATATGTCTTGAGGACCTTCTCGGCTGCATCAGCAGATGAGGCAATGATTGTAGGTACTAGCCCTAGTCTCATATACATAATAGGACCATGTTTTTTGGCTAGATTTTGTAAATCTTTGTGTGGATTTTTGCCTAACAAATGAAGATGTCCTAAAATGGGAAGCCCTGTTGGACCTGGAGGATACCTTTTTCTCTTGTGAATGTTTAGCAGCTCATACAAGGCATATACAGATAGACCAACCACTAGAATTGCCCATAGCAAAGTCATTGAATAAGAAGAGAAAATACTTTCAATATTAAACCAAACACGTCTGGTAAGATTAGAGGGGTGTGATGTATAACATGTCCTCTATATTAAACCAAACACGTCTGTTAAGCAAGATAGGATTAGAATAAAATTATTACCCAATCACTCCTAAATATCTTAGCACGTACCCACAAACATGTCAATGTCAAAGTAGTCTTTTAAAATCCACGCCCACGTGCTTCATTCATTCATTTCAATCAATTATATGGCTCCAATTCCGAAAGCTATTTGACCAAGATATTATTATGGATTGTGATATAGTGGTGGGATTGATTTATTATTAATCAATTTGGGTTGCAGTCTTAGTTATTTATAAAATCTGCCCAAATGGGTCCTGTAATGCGAAATTTGGATCAAGTCGAAAATTTAATGTGGACTTTGAACACCGAGTGAAAAAAATAATTATTATTTTATATTTTTTGGATACCGATCGAGAATTCAATGTGGGCTTAGACAAACCTTTAAAGAATCATTCACTACAACAAAAACAACTTTTAGTGGCATTAAATATTGACATTAATAAAGTGTGCTAAAGTCTTTAACGACATTAGTTAAGAGTAACTAGAACCAATTTTGCTAAAGGCTTTAGGGATATATACAAAAAGTGACAATTGCCGCTAAAAATACATATTTAGTGACAATTAAGAATTAATTGCCACTAATAATCATTTTTGTTGTAGTGACTTACCCCGAAAAAGTAAGAAGTATTTTCACTAAACTATTATTAATCAAATAGTATCAATTTTAATATGGATTTTTGGTTTATGTAAAAATTTTAATAATATAAGAAGATAATCACTAATAATATAAAGAAGAAATGTAGAGATAAGAGAGCTGCCTCATTGCTAGCTGTCTCATTATAAATCTTTGTAAAAAAACATAGTTGATAAAATATCAACTAAGGGGGAAAAAAATACCATGTGTGTTTTACACCCTTCCTTAAGACATCATTTGATTCTTGTAGATTTTACCTACCATCTTTCCAAAACAATTGATATTGGCAATACTTTCTTTGTTATCATTGCATATGTCTTTTATATATTAAATCCATAAGCTCAACCAAATATTTTCTTGACTTCTTTGTTCATGATTTTATTGTCATTCGACTTGTTTATAGTAAAAATGATAACAAAAATTGTATGTTTGGTAGAATAACATGCTTTTCGCTATATTCTTAAACACAAACAAGTAACTTTTTTAAGATCAAATATCATATAAATGAGATACGAGACTAAATTTCCTTTTGCACATTATCAAATTTCATATAAATGAGATACGAGACTAAATTTCCTTTTGCACATGTCACGATCCAAAACGATTCTTGAGTAGCACCAACACTTAATCTCATAGGTGGGCAAACCAAAAATTTCATTGACTAATGAGTAATTTCTGAACAAGAAAGGGAAAATGCACAAGTACCCCCTCAACCTATGCCCGAAATCCCAGACACACACATATACTATACTAAGGTCCTATTACTCCCCTAAACTTATTTTATAAGTAATTTTCTACCCCTTTTTAGTTTACGTGGCACTAGTTTGAAAAAAAAGTCAACCATCGTTGGGCCCACAGGATAGTGTCACGTAGGCTAAAAAGGGGTAAACAATTATTAATTAAATAAGTTCAGGGGGGTAATAGGACCTTAGTATAGTATAAGTGTGTCTCTGAGATTTCGGGCATAGGTTGAGGGGGTACTTGAGCATTATCCCAACAAGAAACCTTAATGATACCAATACATAAGCCTTAAAGAACGAGGGGTATGAGATGTAACCTTTTTATTGAGAGAATGGGTTTTTTTTTTTGAAAATGGTTCTTTCATCATGTGTTATTAAAATTGAAAATGAGTACATCGATAATGAGTGATGGAGGGTTAGTATCCCACTCCATCGAACTAGACATAGAAATTAGATGCTCTAGCAAGACAATAAACAACCTCATTAGCTGATTTCTTAGAAACCGATAAAAAAAGAAAAAACAACTCTTTGATAAGAGTTTCACATTTAAAAACTAAAGAGTTAAAGTAAGAGTAATTCACCAAGTTTTCTTCCAGAGCTTGCTTCACACGTAGATTATCAGTTACCACAACCAACCACTTTCTACTAAACCATTTCTTTAGCCAACTAAGAGCCTCACACACTCCTATGATCTTGGTCAACAACGGGCTAGCCACACGATCAAGAAATAAAGTTTTCCCCGCAATAGATTGACCCAATAGATCACATAGCAGCATGCCTATCACTGTCAAACCGGTATTGATATCATAAGAGGCATCGACGTTACATTTAATTGTGTAAAGTAGAGGTCGCTCCCATTTAGCAATCATTTTTGTAGCAACAACAGTTTCTTGGCTCCCGAATTGGCGCTTCTGCATTCCTACAGCTCCGTCTTCGAACAGTACAAAGTGGCAGCAGACACACTTTAATTAATTCATTATTCCAACATAAATTATTCTGGCTTCCCATAAGCTCCACAAAATCATGACTGCTTCCTCAATAATTTTTTTTCTACATTGCTCTTCAAATCACGCCACAAAATCTCCTATTACATCATGCCAACCAAAATTTGATTGAATCCAACATTGTTTTGCAAATTGACAATCTACTAAGCAATGTCTCACAGTTTCCCACACTTGCAAACATAAAGGGCAAATTGAACTAGTTACACATTTTTTCTTGGAAAGGCTCTCACATATAGGTAAAATATTTCTCAAAGCGCTCTAGATGAAGTTAAGCACCTTAGAGGGCAATGATATGCTCCAGGTGAATTCTAAAGTTGTTGGTCCTGCTAGTTGGGTGTTATATTTTGATTATAAAGGAGGTGATACCCACTTTTCACTGAGTATAATCCTTTGTTGTCCAATTTCCACATCCAAGTATCTCTTCGTGGCCTAATATTCAACAGAATTTGTCTAGCAACCTCCATATCAACTTTATTAAAGAAAGCACGTAACAAATCCAAGTCACATCCTTTCACACCTTGCTTCATCAGATCTGCCACAATAAAACTTTCACTTCCAATAAAACTAGAGCTTTCAACGTAACTTAAATTCTCTTTTAGGATCCATGGATCAACATAAACTCTTGTTGTCTTTACATTCCCAATACGTCGGAGATATCCTTGTTTCAGAATACGCTTCTCTGCACATAAATCTCGCCATAAAAAGCTACGATTTGCCTTGTTTCGCATGTAGAAATCATATTTATGATAGTATCGAGCTTGAAAAAGCTTACTCACAAGAGCCTCAGGCCTGGTTAACATATTCCACCTTGTTTTTGCGAGCATGACAATATTAAAATGATGGAGCCCTTGAAATCCCAAACCCCCATCCTGCTTGCGCACACAACCTTTTTGCCAAGCCATCCACATTATCCCTGAATTTTCCCTCGTTCCTGGTTTCCACAAAAATCCATTCATGGCTCGCTCAACAGGTTCACATATATTACTGGGAAGTAAGAACATTTTTATCACATAAGTTGGAATTGATTGAACCACTATTTTGAGCAATACTTCTCGCCTTGCTCGCGAGAGACTAGTACACTTCCAACTATTCATCTTTGCAATTACTCTATCATGGATATAACCAAAGACTGATTCTTTGTTTCTTCCTACTACTGCTGGCAAGCCAAGATACATTCCAGGATAACACCTTCTTGACATGATGGATATCCACAATCTCTTATTTCACACTTTCATTTTGTATGATAACTGAAAAAAATTAAATTTTTCAAAATTTACCAGTTGAGGAGAGGCTGCCTGATAAATCTCCATATAGCCTAATAGTTTCTACCTCGTTCTTTGTTGCTTTAAAAAATATAAAGCATCATCCACAAATAATAGGTGCGAAATAGATGTTGTTTTAGTGCAAATTTTGACACCATGAAATCGGCCCTGAATAGACATTCACTTCAACAACGGTGATAAACCCTCCGCAACTATCAAAAATAGATAAGTTGATATGGGATCACCTTGCCTCAAGCCTCTTCTTGGAGAAATATTTCTGAATTGCTTGCCACCATGACTAAATTTATAAATAACTGTCGTTACCATCAACATAACTTTATTCATCTACTCCAAAAAAAAATCCCATATTAATCATCATTGCTCGCAGAATACCCCATTCAACGCGATCATAAGCTTTACTCATGTCCGTTTTAAGTGTTGCATAACCCACTTTGTCTTCTGTTTTTCTCTTTAGATAATGCATAGTGTTATGAATGAAAATAGTGAGGTCGACTCCAACGTGGCTGAACCAATCGTGCTAGCTATAGTCATGAATGAAAACAGCAAGGTGGACGCCAACGTGGCTGAACCAATCGTTCCAGCTAGGCACAACACACGAGTTAAGAAGAGACTAAAAAGATTAACTGATTTTGAATAAAAGGTGGGGTAAAATGTGTGAAGGAATCTATGAGCACATGGGCGTTGTGTGTCGTCAATTATAAAATAAGTGATAGCAGGAGCAGAAAGTACGGTTTTATTGTTATGGTACTTTTCTGAGTCTCTCATCCCCAATTCTTAGAATTCTAAGCGCCTCATCCCCTTCTTCTCTATCTTATATTTCGGTCTTTTATTGTTGCTTTCAGTCATCACATTCTCTACTTTAAGTTCCATTATAATTCAGTTCTAGTTCAAAATAATAAACACAGTACTTGAGACTTTGTTACTATTACATTGGTTCTTTCATTTTTGCGTGTCTAATCGCGGACCAACACTTGAAGGGTACCGATGACATATCCGTTGCCGGGGAAATTGCAGATTTTTGCGCTCCTCTATACAAAAATTGGTATTTTCAATGGCTACCTTAGTTCAGCCAACTTGTGTACCTGCAGTGGATCCAGATCGTAATCGTGAGCCGGCGCCGTGGGTGAACCACTCAGAACCACCGCCAGCCCATCCAACTCTTCGCACAAGCCAGCACCGGTGGACCTGGGGCGTTTCTATGGCATTAATCCAGAGGCTTGGATCTTCCAAGCAGAATGATATTTTAATTTTTATAGCATTGTTGATGACCATAAATTGTCCCTGGCTTCATTCTATGATTCTATCTTAATGGCGATGCTTTTGAATGGTATTGTTGGTTGTATTACAATAAGCAGTTGATTGATTGGGACCACTTTGCTGAGAAATTGGTTCATCGATTTCGAAAATGGGAGTTAGAAACACCAGAGGGTCATTTGGCTAAGATAGAACAGATTAAAACAGTGACGAAATATCAGAGCAAATTTGAAGCTCTCCCCAATGAGACTACTCCCTCTTCTTAACTAAAAATCATCAACTTCTTTTTCTACTCTAGATTTTTTACCTCTTCTTAACTAAAAATCATCTTCTTTATTTTTCAAAGTAAAAGTAGAAGAACTAGATAGTAACAAAACATTTTCAATCCTTTGACCCACACTATTCTTAGAATCAAAAGAAAATTTATTTTCATGAAAAATAGCATCACCTGATTCTATCACAATATTAACTTCAAGATTAACAATTCTATAGATTGTACTATTTGAAGCCTAACCAATAACAGATAGTATTAAATAATATTAGTATTTACTGTGTACTAATCCTAGTCCTATTAGGATTAGTACTCCTTAATCTTAGTCCTATTAGGATTAGTACTCCTTTCTATATCTCCTATATATATCTCCCATGTATTCCTTTATTAGGTTAACACTTCAATACAATAAATATTCCTTCATGGTATCAAGAGCCAGAAAACCTAGATCTTCTTTTCTCTAGGTTTTTTTCTCGCTTTAGGGTACCGATCGTTCCCTCTCTTCTCTTAGGCGGCGGCAGCCATGACAACCGAGGTGGATCCTCTCTATTCACTTTCTTCTGGCGTTAAACTCCTTCTCAGGCATCTTCATGCCCTGATTCCCAAAAAATTATTTGACATAAATTACCCTACATGGAAAATCACCGTTCTTACAGCCCTTGAGGCCAATTACCTTCTCAAATACGTCGATGGAAGCACAGAACCGCCGCCGGCAGTCATCACCGCCACGGACAGATCAGAAAAAACCAATCCGGCCCATGCTGCCTGGAAAGCCGTGGATGGCCAGATCCGATCATGTTTGCTTGCGGTCATCTCTCCCACAGTTCAGCAACACGTCCGATCCTACACAACTGCTTCAGCCCTATGGACGACCCTCGCAACACGCTATGCATCAATTTCCCACTCTCATATTTTTCAATTGCGTGATCGTCTCCACACAATTACCAAAGGCACGAAAACTATGGCGGAGTATTTAGACGAGGTCTCCACCATCATCACAGCCCTCGACACCGTGAACGAAATCATTCCCGAAAAAAATCTCGTCATGTGCATCGTTCGGGGGCTCCCATTAGCTTACTCTTCCATTAAACAAACGGTTCGCATCAGTCCAACGCCCGTTGACCTGGCTACTCTCTCCTCGTGGATAAAAAGTGAAGAAATCAACATGGATCTGGAGAGCAAACTTCTTCTCTGAGAAGCCGCTGTTATGAAGCCGGCCACCGCCCTCACCGCAAGCCAGAACTATTGCGGGGGGCGTGGTGGCGGACGGCAGGGGAGTCGCGGTGGCTACGGCAGAAACAGCGGAGGCCGCAGGCGCGGTGGTCGGAGGGCAGTCGTCCTCCGTACGACGGTCAGCAGCACGGCAGCAACAACAGCCTGCACTCCTTTGGCAGCAGCGGGCAGTCATCTTCCAGCGGCGGGTAGGGCACTTACGAGCGGGATCGTCCAACTTGTCAAATTTGTCAGAAAATAGGACACACCACTGTTCGTTGCTGGTTTCGGTATGAGGAGAGCTGAAATAGTGATAACCGTGCCAATTATGCATCTCAAGCCGGCCCCTCCTCTGAATGGCTGTTGGATACTGGGGCCAACATGCACGTTACTTATGATCTATCCAAGCTTAACGCTCCAAATCCATATCATGGCTCCAATGGTATTACTGTTGGCAACGGTGAGTCCCTTAATATTTCTCACACTGGCACGGGTACCATTAAAAACCCCACCGCTATCATTCACCTAGGTAACCTTACCCACGTCCCTTTTATTAAAACCAATCTCCTTTCAGTTCACCAATTCACAAAACACAATAATTGCTCACTCTTGTTCACCTCTAATGATGATCAGATCCTAAACAATACTACCAAAAGGGTTATTTTTCAGGGCCCCTGTGAGCATGGTCTGTACGTTCTTCCTGGCACAAGTTCGTCTGCCCACCCAGTTTCAGAAAGCGTTCCTGTGGCTCTTTCGGCTGATGGCCACAGTCTGTTGTGGCACAGTCATCTGGGTTACCCGTCTACTCAAATAATAAATTCTTTAATGTCTCAATTAGGTTTTTCTTCCATTCATATAAACAATTGTGACTCCTGTTCAATTGCTAAATCTCATAAATTACCTTTTACTTTATCTGAGAAGCGTACAACTGCACCTTTTCAACTTATTCATTCTGACTTATGGGGTCCTACTACTGTTCCTTCATTTGCTGGTTCTCGCTACTATATTTGTTTTGTGGATGATTTTAAAAAATACACTTGGTTGTACCCACTAAAACACAAATCACAGGCATACACCACCTTTGTCACTTTTGAAAAAATGGTCAAAACACAATTCAATTCTCATGTTAAACTTTTTCGAAGTGACAATGGAAAGGAATATGTAAACATCTTTGGCCAGTTTCTGCAATCCCTGGGAATTATACATCAAACCTCCTGTCCATACACTCCCGAACAAAATGGGGTGGCTGAGTGTAAGCATCACCATCTCATTGAAACGGTGGTTACTCTTCTACATCATTCTCATCTCCCTGTCTCCTTTTGGGTAGAAGCTCTAGCCAACGCAAACTATCTCATTAACAGAATGCCCAGCCACACCCTCTCCAACAAATCACCCTATCAACTCCTTTACCAAGAACTTCCCAATTATACCAACCTCCGCGTCTTTGGGTGTCTTGCCTACCCTTGGCTACGCCCTCATATTACTCACAAATTACAACCCGATCCCGTCCTTGTATTTTTTTGGGCTATCATCCTACCTCCAAGGGTTACCGCTATCTTGACCCAAAAACTCATAAAGTCTACATATCTCATCATGTCAAATTTGTCGAAAATGAGTTTCCCTACGAGTCTATTTCCTCCTCCACAAATACATCATTCATTGGCGTCCTTCCCCTTTTTCCAACATACTCATAGGGTCCCTCACCACCTTCCCCCACACCTCCACCCACTACCCAACCACCCCTCATCACCCCTTCGACCGTCACCCACAATACACCCGCAACCACCACCCAAACCACAACCAACCCGAACCACCCCATACCCACAACATCTCCAGCCCGATCCGTTTTGGGTCCTTCCCGGCCACCCCC